CGGGTCCCGGGGCCACCGGGGTAAGGCGAAGCAGGACGGACAGCGCACCGCGGCGCAGAGCATCGCGGAGAACCGATGGAGCACGGTCCGCCTTTCCCTCTGCTGTGCCCTCGGTGCTCCGAGAGGGCTGCGCTGCTCCCGGTAACGCAGCCCGGGCAGCTCCAAAAGAGACCACAGACCCCCAAAAATCCGCCCCTGATTCAAGATGACTCCTGCGGCACAGGCACTTGGTGGGAACTGGAGGAGCCAAAGGCTGGGAAGGACCTACCGCAGTGCTGCATCTCAGCACAGGAGAGACATGGACCTGGTGGAGCGGGGCCAGAGGAGGGCACAGAGATGCTGGGAAGGCTGGAGCCCCTCTGCTGGGAGAGTTGGGGGGGTTCAGCCTGGAGAAGAGAAGGCCAAAAAGGGGAGACCTCAGAGCCCCTTCCAGAGCCTAAAGGCTGCCCCATCCCTGGAGGCGTTCAAGGCCAGGTTGGACGGGGCTTGGAGCAACCTGGGCTGGGGGAGGTGGCCCTGCCCAGGGCAGGGGGTGGGATTGGATGATCTTCAAGGTCCCTTCCAACCCAAACCATTCTATAGTTTTATGATCTACCAGAGGTCCCCAGCTGGTCACAGCTGCCCCAGGGTATCAGTGCTCAGCTGCCCTTTCCCAGTAGCACTGAAATGAAATGGGGCGCAATAAACCGTGCAGCAGGTGGAAAAGCCACATAAAGTCATCTGGGCCTGAAAGATGCAGACAAAAATTGCCTCCTTTGCAATTCTGATCACGTCTGCAGGTCTGTGCAGCTGAGTGAGACCACCCGTGCAACCACTGAACCCTCCTGTCTCACTGGACTGCCGCCAGTACGAAGGGCAGAGTGACACAGAAGGGATCCTCCCCACCAAGGCTCATGTAGATATCAGCCAAACTGAGGTTTTGACCCCTAAAGGAAGCTCAGCTGGTGGACCCAATGCATCCCTTTGGACTACGGCCCACAGATGTCACTAGGAAACCATTTGTGATCACCCCCAGGTACTTCTGGCCTGGCCAAAAACCTGCAGAACAAAGTCAAGATGAGGACACCAGCTGCAGAACGGCCTCTCTGCCCTCTCCCTGCGTAAGCAGAGACAACACTGAGAAGGCGCCAGGAAAGACATGTTCTTTCTTCAGGGATGGTTTGCTCCTCCTGCAGACCCAGCCCGAACGCTAGCATGAGGAGGGATTCCCGGAGCGAGGGAGCAAGTTGGGAGCTGCTGTCTCCAGAAGAGGTTGCTGAGCAGCCTGGCTGCCACATTCATGTTTAAAATGTCCTCAGCACCGCACCCGACCTGCTCCTCACATCAGAGGAGACAAGGTAAAGGGGCCAGGAGGGACGATGAGACACAGGCAAGAGGGCTCCCAAGATTGTATGGGAAGAGTTCCCTGTTTTAAGGGGATAAATATTTGACTCAGCCGCTTCTTATTGCCCATAAAATACAGCAGGAAAACCAGGAGCAATATTCAAGCCCTAGGCTGTGTCTTCAGTCTGTTCCGTTACCAACTTACCGAGCTAGGTGTTCCTTCATGGGTATTACCCGAGAAGCTTTCCTACCTCCTAGCCCCGATCACACAACCAACCTGCCCGAGGGCGTCTGCTCCCCACATCACCTACGCCCGTTACCTGTCCAGAACAGCACAGCCCTGCTCAGCCCCATTTCCCACTTACCCACTTGATACCACCACCGAGAGACAGGAGGAACATGCTTTTAACAAAGACAACATTTTCTGGGAGTCCCCAGAGGCTTTTATTTCTGGAAGCTGTCAGAGCCTACAGCTTCTTGGCTTTTATCTGATGCTGTTGTGACTTCTCTAGTCTGTGAAATAAGATGCCGGTGTCAGGTCCAAGCTGTCTGCCTTCAAAGGGACAGGGCTTCCCATTGTAGCGTGGCAGGAACGTCAAACTGGAGAGACCTCTCTCTTCTGGCTCAACAGCCAGCCTGGTGAGCAACTTGTCTGCCGTGTGTGGGATCACGGGCTGCAGGAGAGTCCCATAGACACGCAGGCATTCCAGCGTGACGTGGATGATAGTGTCAAGCCAGAGCTGCTCTGCGGGGTCTTTTCGGTCGAGTTTCCAAGGCCTGTGTCTCTGGAAGAAACTGTTGGTCTGCCTTACGCACAGGGCAATGCATTCTAAAGCCTTGTAGATCTGGAAACTTTCAAAATAACTGGCCACCTGCAGAGGCAGAGAAGCCACAGACACCACAAACTCATAGTCTTCAGCAGAAGCCCTACCTGTGCCTTTTGCCTCTCTGTAATCCAAGACCTTCGGAAAACAAGACTCTGAGAAACAAGGGTAAGTGTTGCTGGGGTTAATGCTGAGGGCTGTTGACCGATTCAGGAGCCCCCCAAGCGCGTCTGCCAGTTCCGAATTCACTAACTTAACCACCTTCTCATCATAATAGTCACAGTCACGCTCAGGTACACCCTGCCTTAGCAGGAAGTACCGAAATCCATCCAATGTGTACTGTCCAATACAAGCGAAGGGGTCAATCACGTTGCCCAGGCTTTTGGACATCTTCTGCCCACGGACAGTCCAGTGGGAGTGCACAAAGATTCGCTCAGGGGGGGGCAGCCCTGCTGCCATCAGCAGTGCTGGCCAGTAGACAGCGTGAAACTTGAGGATGTCCTTGCCCACAACATGGTGCGCAGCAGGCCACCACTGCCCGTGTGTCTCAGGGTAGCCCACCACGCTCAGGTAGTTCACCAAGGCATCCACCCACACGTAAATAGTTTGTGTGGAGTCACTGGGGACAGGGATACCCCACTGCAGCCGGCTCCTCTCACGAGAGACAGACAAGTCCGGCAAGTCCTCTTCCAGCCAGCGGAGCACGCGCTGGTAGAAAGGGTCAGGGGAAATGGCGTGTGGGTTGTCCCGGAGCCAGTTCCGCAACGGATCCCGGAACGCTGAGAGCCTGAACATGTAATTCTCCTCTTTGGTCCAGTGCACCTGAGAAGGTAGGAGAGAAAAGAATTACGGCCCAAACGTTCTGCAAAGAGTTTTACATATGCAGACAGAATTCTAAACGTGGAGTTTGTCGCACACCCCCTCTGCGTTTGAGTGTGCTGCCCACCACCTGTGAAGCCCTCAGCATCTTTCTATGGCTACTGGGAACCTCCTCTCCTGTCACCGCCTCCCCAGGTTCTCCAGGATACCACCTGAGGACTTTGGCACTTGCGGTGGCTCAGCACTCTGCTTTTAAAGATGCTCGTGCCCCCAGGGAAGGAATACCTTTCTATCCGCCAGATTTCTGTGTCATCAGGCAAGAATTAGTGAGATGAAAATATGCTTTCTTAAAAACATAGTTTTGCAATAATAGTAGAAAATCATGAAAAGACAAAATGACATTGTTAATTACTGCCTTACTAACAAGCCTGGTGGGTGCCTCTGCTATTTTTCTTTGGCGCTATGTTCCTCTTTTTCCGCAGTTTAAGCATTAGAGCATCTGCCGTGGTTTTGGCTGGGACGGAGTTGACTTTCCTGCTGGCAGCTGGTGCGGTGCTGTGTTTCGGGTTTGGGATGGGAGTGGTATTGATGGCACACCAATGTTTTTGGTTGTTGCTGAGCTCTCAAGGCCTTTTCTGCTCCTCATACCACCCCACCAGCAAGCAGGCTGGAGGGCACAAAACGCTGGGAGGAGACACAGCCAGGACAGCGGACTCCAACTGCCCAAAGGGATATTCTGTGCCATGTGACATCATGCTCGGCATATAAAGCTGGGGGAAGGAAGAAGGCGGGATGTGCTGAGTGATGGCGTTTGTCTTCCCAAGTCACTGTTACGCGTGATGGAGCCCTGCTTTCCCAGGGACAGCTGAATGCCCGCCTGCCGATGGGAAGGAGTGAGTGAATTCCTTGTTTTGCTTTGCTTGTGTGGCTTTTGCTCTACCTGTTAAATTGTCTTTACCTCAACCCACGAGTTTTCCTTATTTTTTCCCCACTCTTCTCCCCATCCCACTGGGTGTGGGGGAGGAAGTGAGCAAGCAGCTGGGTGGTCCTAGTTGCTGACTGGGGTTAAACCACGACAGCATCTTAGTTGCTAACTTTGTTAGCCTATAATCATGTTAAAGTACTGACAGCACTCCTCCCACACGTTTAAATTCATTAAATGACACATTTAGCTAAATCGATGAAAACTTTGTGGGTAGATATGGTATGAGTGAGCTGCATAAAGGCACTCAAGAGATCTATGGCTAGGTCAAGAATTTTTATCTTTTAAAGATGATTAAGATTCTAAGATAAGAAAGCATAGGCTCTGGCATCACAGGAGAGTTTGTTTCTAGCACTGAACCCAACAACTTCTGACTGAGCCAGAAAGTGCCTCACTCACAATACAAGCAGTAGAGAGCCTACCACACCTCAAGCTGAGATACCCAAAGGAATAATTAAACCTACTGGTATATACCCTAAGGAACAATTAATCTAGTGATACGAAACTGCTTTATAATGTAGCTGAATTGATCTAATTTCAGTAGCAGCCAGTAGCAAATACTATCCTTTCTCACTTGGTCAGCGGTCACCCCAAAAGAAATATTCTCCCCTACACAAATCATAAACAAGTTACACAAAAATGTTTTGGTTCCCCCCACACAGGCCCCAAATTCTTTATGTTTTTCCATAATCTTTTTCAGTTTCTGGGTACCAGCTCTCAGCACTCTGTCCAGGAGTAGCACTTCACACAGAGCCAATGCAATGTCCTTCAACCACTATTCCCGTTTACACAATCCAGCGATCCTTTTGGTAACAACTCAGGATGCAAAAGCCATCTCACAGTGGGACCTGCAATCATTTCTACTGAAACGCTGACCAGGTCTGGGTTTGGCTCTGAAGCCCCCACCTCACGTCCTCTGCCAGGTGCTAAGAGCTGAGCTACCCATCAGCTAGTCACCTGCAGA